AATGTGACGGCGATCCGCCGCAGAGCTTAGTTCAGATTCTGATCACAAAGCATGTGCATGCGAGCGAACACTTTTCTAGGCATGTCATCGATGATGCCCGCGATCCCGTTCTCATCCCCTTCAGTTCGTTGAAATCTCCAGTGGTTTACAGGAGAGTTGGCGATCATATCATGTGCATTTGGCCCGTTGAATACCGTACATTGTTCTGTTAGCGCATACTTTACAACAGAAAACAACATCGATATGCAAAGAAATCCACATGACATCTCACAAAAAAATGCACGTCCCCAAAAAACTTCAAGTATAAGCCGAACAAAAGAACATGCCACTCCAACAACTCCAACACGGCAACTAGTTATAACGAGTTTTACTAACTAGTTATAACTCCAGCTAACTATCACTGACCGACGCGTTCCTTCAGGGGGACAGCTCAGTTGTTCGAACCGGTAGTGACTTCCCCCTCCCGTTTTCGGGGGGGTGTTCGAACCGGTAGTGACCCCCCGCGGTTTTCGAGTTCGACGGGGGGGGGGTTAGGGGAGGGGGGGGGGCCCGGGGGAAGGGGGGGGGGGGAGGTCCAGCAGGGGGGGGGCAGGGGGATTTTTTTTTCGTGGGGGTGTGGGGGGGGGGCGGGCTCCGGAGGAAAAGGGCGGCAATTTTCCACAGTTAAGCGGCGGTGGATCACGCTCTCTCGAACATGGTCAAAACATGGTCTGGGGACGATTGTTAAACTACGTTTGACTATTTGGGGGTATTTGTGCGGCTATGTTCCGCACGTTTCTTCCACAATCCGCCTGCAGGGGGACGTGCCCGACCTAAGTTCACCACCGTCCGCCTTAACGGGCGCGCCAACGGCCTGGTTTACCAATGCCCCCGTTTGCGGGGCCTGGCCGCTCGGCGCATCGACCCCCATTCGCCCATTGCATCGCCGACAGGGGCCCGACGGCCCTCCCCGCCCGGGACCGTGCTGTTTCGCCATCGGTGGCCTCTACAGTCAACGCGCATAGTAAGGACGCGCGCCTCTTCTAGGGTACCCTTGTGTCCTTGCCTCGGCGGCCCGTCCTTTGCCGCTTCCACTGGCCAGCCTCCCAGGCCGCCGCCCAACAAACCCCAAACCTCGACCTCCAAGGGTCTTGTGTCCTTACCACCCGTCCTTACTACACGCTTTCACTGTAGCCGACGTGCCGCCGATTTCAGCTGGATGTTCACCCCCCTCATCAGGTCCCGCCCCAACTTCCCGGAAAACTTTCTCGGGCCGGGCGAAAGGGGGGGATTGGGAAAGGGGGGCTTACGAAATCTGCTGCATGCAGCTGGTTTCGGCCTCACCGAGGGGCCCATTTCTCGATACGTGCCCGCATCCGGCGCCTGGAAGCGCCGGGAAAATCAGCTGCGTGAGCTGATTTTCCAACCCCCCCTTTGCTATCCCCCCTTTCGCCCGACCCGACGTTCTGAGCCTCCACCGAAGCCACAGGGGGGCTTTTCAGAGGGCCCCAGAGGGGTTCTGAGCAGCCCCGCTGCCTTTCGAGTGGGCCGCTGTAGGCCTAGGGGAAGCCCGGGAGGCGAATGTGTTGAAAACGTAAGTTTCCCGTCGGGAATGGGATCATTTTTGCTTGTCGAGGCGTTCGTGGAGCGCCTCGTAGTAGCTGTTTCAAACGTCTGCGGGACCTATGGGGAATCGTCTGCAGGCAAGTTGGGGCGGGTTGGACCAAATCGTCTCCCTCGTGAGCCGTCCTGAAAGCCTCTGGGGGCCCTCTCGGCCCGTTGTGGGGCTCTCGTGGGACCGTCCTACGACTGTCCTGGGCCGCTGCCGTGGTTTCTGAGACTTCCGTGGCGCGCCCAGAAAACCTTCGTGGAGCCATTTTAAGAGCCTCTCGGGGTGTCGGGGGTCGAACTTGAAGGTTTACTGGGCCTCGTAGGCCTGTTGGAAGCCCGAAGGGCGAATGTACTGAAAATGTATGTTTCCCGTAGGATGTGAGACGATTTGTGCTTCTGGAGGCCTTCTGGGTGCGCCTCGTCGACGCGTTTTGAACCGTCTTGGGGGCCTATCGGGCCGTCAGAAGGCAATCGTGGGCGATTTGGACCGAAGCGTCCCCCACGTGGGCCGTCTGGCCTGCCTTTGGGAACCCTGTTGACTCGGTTTGGAGCTCTTTTGGGACCGTCCTGCGGCTCTCCCTGGCCGCTGTTAGGGTTCCTGGAGCATTCGTGGATCGCGTGGAAGCCGTCATGGAGCCTTTTTGGGAGCCTCCTGGGTTGCGGAGGGTCGATCTTGGAGGCTTCTTGGGCGGTTGTGGGGCCGCGTGGAAGCAGAACAGGCGAATGTGCTAAGAATGTGCGTTTTCCTAGGGAATGGGAGGATTTTTGGTTCTGGAGGGCCTTCGTGGGGCGCCTCGTGGGCGCGTTTTCAGACGTCCTGGGGGCCTATGGGGCCGTCTGGAGGCAATCTTGGGCGATTTGGACCGAATCGTCGTCCCCCGCGTGGGCCGTCTGGGCAGCCTTCTGGGACCCTGTGGGCTCGTTGTGGAGCCCTTTTGGGACCGTCCTGCAGCTCTCCCGGACCGTCGCTAAGGTTTCTGGAGCCTTCGTGGATCGCCTGGAGGCAGTCGTGGAGCCTTTGTGGAAGCCTCTTGGGCTGCGGAGGGTCGATCTTGGGGGCTTCTTGGGCCGTTGTGGGCCGTGTGGAAAAAGAAAAGGCGAGTGTGGTGTGTGTATATATATATATATATGGACTGTACTTCACAAGGGGATCGTTTTTTGCTTGCGGAGTCCTTCCTGGAGCGTTTCGCGGACGCGTTTTCAGACGTCTTGGGGGCCTATGAGGCCGTCTGGAGGCCGTCTTGGGCGATTTGAAGCGAATCATCCCCCGCGTGGGCCGTCTGGGCTTGAGGACCTTGCCGGCTCGTTGTGGAGCCCTTTTGGGCCGTCCTCCGGCTCTCCCAGGCCGTTTCTGAGGTTTTTGGAGCCTTCGTGGATCGCCTGGAGGCCGTCGTGGAGCCTCTGTGGGAGCCTCTTGGGCTGCGGAGGGTGGATCTTGGAGGCTTCTTGGGCCGTTGTGGGCCGCGTGGAAGCCCAAAAGGCGAATGTGCTAAAAATGAACGTGGGGGCGAGCGTTGCTTCTGGAGGGCCTTCGTGGGACGCCTCGTGGGTGCGTTTTCAGACGTCTTTGAGGCGTGTGAGGCCGTCTGGAGGCCGTCTTGAGCGATTTGGACCGAATCGTCCCCCGCGTGGGCCGTCTGGGCAGCCTTCTGGGACCCTGGGCTCGTTGTGGAGCCCTTTTGGGGCCATCCTGCGGCTCTCCCGGGCCGTTGCTAAGGTTTCTGGAGCCTTCGTGGATCGCCTGGAGGTCGTTGTGGAGCCTTTCTGGGAAGGTCGATTTTGAAGGCTGCTTGGGCCGTTGTGGGCCGCGTGGAAGCCCAAAAGGCGAATGTGCTAAAAATGTACGTTGTCCCTCGGGAGCGGGGCGATTTTTGCTTCTGGAGGGCCTTTGTGGGGCGCCGCGTAGTACGTTTGCAAGAGTCTTGGAGACTTATGGGGCCGTCTGGAGGCAATCGCTGGCGTTTTGGAACGATCTTTCGTCGACTTGTAGCTGTCGTGGACCGTTCCGGGACCCTTGTGAACCTTTTTGGGCCGTTGTGGGGCCTCCCGAGGCTCCAAGTGTGCGGCTGACACCTTTGCCCTTGCCCCATCCCCCCTTCCGAACCGGCCGGACCAGGCCCCCAGGGGAGGGGTTTGGGGTGGGGGAAGCATCTCACACGCCGTGACCCCAGGGGGTCGGCGGATGACGGGAAGTGCATTTCGCGTGGACCGTTTGTTAGTGGTAGAAATTAATGATGGGGTACGGGGCGCACTTTGAAACCACGCTGGCGGATTTTTGAAAAATAGCAGTTTCGCTCGAGACATCCTCCAAACATCGGCACAAGAGGAGACTCCGAATCGACGTCGTGTTCGAATCGCTCGTGGAGGGCTTTCCAACGGCCCAAGGGAGGCCCAAAAGACGCCCAGGAGTGCCCAAGAGCGCCCCAAGAAAACCCCAAGAGACACCCAAGAGCGCTCTAGGAGCCACCCAGACAGCTCACAAGAACCCCAAGACAGCCCGAGAAGGGCCAAGAAAGCCCCGAGAGACTCCTGGGAGCGCCCCAGGAGGCCCCCAAACGGCCCAAGGAAGCCGCAAGACGGCCCAAGATGGCGCCGAGACGGCCCAGGAAAGCTCCCACAAAACCCCACGACGCGCCCAGACAGCTCAAGAAGACCCCAGAAGCCCATAAGAGGACGCAAGGGGCCCCCAAGAAGCCCCCAACAGGCCCCAAGACAACCCCGTCCAGCGCCAGGAGCAACGTCTTTCTCCAATTGCCTCTTACTGTCCTCTGTCGTCGTCGTCGTTGTCGTCGTCGTCGTCATCGCCCTCCGCATTCCTCCTCGTACTCGCCCTCGTTCTCTTCGTTCTCGTCCTTGTGCTTCTCTTCCTCCTCGTTGTCATCATACTCCTCCTCGCTATCCTCACGTTCGCCACTTCGCCCTCCTCATCGACTCCTCGTTGCCCTCGCCTTCCTTTTTTTCTTCGCCAAATACGCCCAATAGACTAAAGCGGCGGTTCACGTTCTTGTCCGATCAGGTTCCCCGATTCGATGCCGATTGATTCAAGAGGCTTACGCCATTCTGCCGACCCCCAGAACAAGGCAACTTCCACGGGCATGTTCAGCAGGATCGATGGGTTGCCCCAAAACGTCGCGACTGAACGCCAAGAGGACCCCCTCACAGCCCGACAGGCTTCCCCAAGACAGCCTTGGAGGTCCTCCAGAAACCCCTCCGTGACCACTATGGTTCAATATCAAGGTGTCCGCGCGTAGGACTAACTTCCAACGTTAACAACATCAGAGATTTCATATCTGCTTTCGTACAATATCGGGTCGGGCTGCCAAACTCGGCTGCCACATGTGAGCGCTACCTTTACCCTCCACGATTTCTGAGGGGGGAGGCGGGTCCATTTCGTTCGGAAGATCTCAAGCGAAGGAACCCCCAACCTCCCCTTTAAAATCGGAGAGGGTAAGGATAATGTTCATATGCGACCACCCACAACCATGCTCGTGGAGCTCACCGTTGCCCTCTTGGCGGTCGCCCGTGCGAACGGGGAGGCGACGCGAGTGCCGTGGCAAACCTACAACGGGGACAGGTATGTGTACGTGCAGAGTCCGACGCGTACACGCGATCAGGCCGTTGCAGAGTGCACGTCCCTTGGAGCAGAGCTGGCGACGATCACCAGCAACGATCAGAATACATTCATCGGAACACTCATGCCCCAGGTCCTTGGAACAAGCGCTTGGATTGCCAATGCGGTGAACGATGGATTGTACAGTAACTTCTTACCAGACAGGCCAGATGGTTCTGGCGTGTGCATACGTTTTTTGTCGTTGGTGTGGACGTCGTATCACGATCATTGGGACGACGAGCCGTGCAGTTCTAGCTATGGATACGTGTGCATTCAGTCCGATTGGACGAACAGCCCGACGGCCACCCCCACGCCCAGCTCAACGGCCACACCCAGCCCTTCGCCAAGCCCTACGTCCGCCCTACCTGCGACCGCGATGCCGTCGGCCACTGGTGATCCCCACCTGCAGAACATTCATGGGGAACGATTCGACCTGACGAAACCGGGAACATATGTATTGATCAATATCCCGCGTGGAAAGGGAGCCGATAGTGCGATGCTTCGAGTGCAGGCTGATGCTGTTAGGCTTGGTAAACATTGTGGCGACCTCTACTTTCAGGAATTGAACGTGACGGGGCGTTGGGCAGAGGCAAAGCAAGCAGGAGGGTACCATTACAGTGTATCTCAACAGGAAGCCACGTCTTCAGGATGGGTTGAATTTGGCAAGGTCGCCTTGAAAATCGTCGTTGCACGTACGCAGAGAGACGTTCAGTATCTAAATGTGTTTGCAAAACGCTTGGGGCAATCGGGATTTGCCGTTGGAGGTTTGCTGGGTGAGGACGACCACGAGGAGGCAAGTTCTCCGCCAGAGGCGTGCGTCAAGCGCGTGTCTCTTGCGAAGGGCGCGGGCCCCGTTGTCCAAACTCTCCCAACTGGTTCCATCGCAGCGGCAACTTTGGCGTGAATGAGGCAATCGTTGCAACTTCGAGCGTGTATATAATCGGTTCTCTAGGGGCCGCATGGCTTTCGAAGCTCTTGATCCCAAACAGTATCGGCGAGCCAGCGAGGGCTAAAGGTGGCCTGCGCGAGCTGTTCTACAACGGAGCCCTGCCGGCGCATTCCTCGGATGGTTGGGAGGATGAGGGGGAATGAGATGGAGGTGGAACATCAAGAGAGAGGAGTACTTTTGCTGCGACGCCGCATGAATCTGTGGGCGGCTTTACTTTCGAGCGTGCGTACGCCTGTTCGATCTGACGACCGTGCTTTTTGACATGTAGTGCTTTTGCACGAGTGCGCATGCCCATTCTTGCCACTCGTGCCTTCTGAGGACTCCTTGTTCCTGGAGCGCACCGTTAAAACATCAGCCCCCCAGAAGCCCCCCGAAGGGGGGGCCGCAGACGTGGGCGCCGCCATATGGCCCCGGGGAGGCTTCCAAGAAACACCGAAGGCGCGCCCTGGTCGCCAAAGACGGCTTCAGGAGGCCCAGACAGAAGGCTCTCATTCCCCACTGCCAATGCCAACGATAACAGCGATCGGTGGACGCGGGGAGGAGGTCGCTGCACGCAGCTCGACTTTCCTAGTGCTCCACTCTTCTATGTTGAAAGCGCACGCGCGTGCTTTGTGCTCGCCATCCGTTTGTAACGTGGATTGTTGGGCTTACGCCACACCGCCGACCCCTTGGCCTCTCTTGGAGCCATCGGGAGCCACGGGCGGGTTCTGGGACGGTGCGTAGATTGCGAGTCCGAGGCCCATTTGAGGCCCATCGGATGGCTGAGAGGAGGTTCGTGAGAGAGCTCCTGGGGATGGGTCGGAGGCAGTTTGGGGGCCTTTTGGGAGCCTCCAGGGGGCCTCCTGGGAGCCTCCTGGGGGCCTCTTGGGGGGGTTGGGGGCCTTCTTGGAGCGCCCTGGGGGTTTCTTGGGGCAGCTTGAAGGCGTCTTGGGGCCGACGGCTGGAAATGTCTTGTCGAGCGCCCCCTCCGAGCCCCCTCTTAGGGCCGTCCTGGGGCTTTCCTGGACATGCTGGGGGGTTTCTTGGGGCCCTCTTGGGCCGTCCTGGAACCTGCTTGAGGGCTTCCTGGGCCGCCTAGGGGCGACCATGGAGGCCTCTGGGGCCGTCTTGGACGTTGTGAAAGTACAAGTGGCGAACGTGCTAAAATCAGACGCTTCCCCACGGGAATGGGACGATGTTTGGTTTGGGGGGCCTTCTTGGAACGCCTCTTGGGGGCCTCTTGGGCGTCTTGGAGGCCTCTTGGGCCGTCTGGGGGCCATCTTGGGCGTCTTGGAACGATCCATCGGCGACTCGGGGCCCTCCTGGACCATCTCGTGGGCCTCTTGGGGCTCTCTTGGCCCGTCGTGAGGCCCGTGGAGCGTTTAGCCGGGGCCAGCCGAACCCCTCCCTTCCTCCAAAGCGACTGGACCGGGCCTTGGGGGAAAAGGGTTTGGGGAGGGGGAAGCATCTCACACGCCGATGACCCCAAGGGATCGGCGGATGACGGGAAGCGCCCCTGGCGTGGACCGTTTCGTTTGTTGGTAGTAAAAATTAATAATCGGGTACGCGCTGTACTTGGAAACTGCGCTGGCGGATTTTTGAAACATGGCAGTTTTTTTTCTGAGACATCCTCCAAAAATCGGCCCAAGAGGGGACTCCGCATCGACGTCGTGTTCGAATCGCTCTTGGAGTGTTTTCCAACGGCCCAAGGGAGGCCCCAAAGACGCCCCGGAGAGCCCCAAGAGCGCCCAAGAGCGCCCCAAGAAGACCCCAAGAGACCCCCAAGAGCGCTCTAGGAGCCACCCAGACAGCTCACAAGAACCCCAAGACGGCCCAAGAAGGGCCAAGAAGGCCCCAAGAGACTCCCGGGAGGGTCCCAGGAGGCCCCCAGCACCGAGACGGCCTAAGAAAGCTCCCACAGAACGCGCCCAGACAGCCCAAGAAGACCCCAGAAGCCCATGCCCCCAAGAAGCCCCCAACAGGCCCCAAGAGAACCCCGCGCGGCGCCAGGAGCAACGTCTTTCTCCAATTGCCTCGTACTGTCCTCTGTCGTCGTCGTCGTCGTCATCATCGCCCTCCGCATTCCTCCTCGTACTCGCCCCCGTTTTCTTCGTCCTCGTCCTTGTGCTTCTCTTCCTCCTCGTTGTCCTCATGTTCCTCCTCGCTATCCTCACGTTCGCCACGTCGTCCTCGTCATCGACTCCTCGTTGTCCTCGCCTTCCTTTTCTTCTTCGCCCAATACGCCCATTTGACTACAGCGGCGCTTCCCGTTCTTGTCCGATCAGGTTTCTCTTCGTTCCTTTGTTTGGGTTCCTTGGTTCTCTGGTCTTGGTTCCTTGGTCTCGGTTCTGTGGTTCCCTGGTCCCTTGGTCTTGCTTCCTCGGCTTCTTGGTTTTGGTTCATTGCTGCCTCGCCAAGAAATGACTAACACAGCGAGGAGGGACAAGCGCCGATCCGAGAAATCCGCGCGGACCTCCGAGTTTTTATGTTTATGCCACTTTTTGTTCCCCTAAACCTACTTTAGCCTTGCTTGCAAGCGCCAGGCAGTACCCCAAAACTTTTTCACGTGTCGGGCCCTGGCAGACACTCGATCGACGCTGTTTCGACACTCTTTCGTCACTCTTTCGACACTGTTCTGGGTGCTCGAAAGTATTTCCGGGATGTGGTCCTTCAGTACGATGGGAGAACCACAAGGCTTGGTATCGCTCGCAGGTGTGCACTTCTTTCTCGGCGGGGATTACGAAGGAGCATCCTGGATCATCCTGCGAAAAAGCCGCGCACGAAACCGACATGAAGAACAGGGAATGGACGTCCGAGCGGTGGCCAGATGGATGTTTGGGTCTGCCTCGTGGTGGCGGTGTCTGCTCGTTGCGTTGCATCTTTCGAAGAAGACAGACGCCATAAACACAGGCTCGTGTCGTGTCGAGCAGCGGCGACCCCGCCAGCGGCGTGCAACCTTGAACGCGCGGGCGACCCAAAATCGTGCGATGTGGAACGATTTGGACGCTTCGGAAACGGCCGATCCTTCAAGGTTGAACGATCCCCGCGGTGTCAGACACCAACGCCGAAGTCGGCACGACACGAACCTGACGTAAACACAAACTTTTGGCGCTCCGCCCAGATTTCTTGGATCCGCTTTGGCCCCGCCCGGCGGCGCCTCCGGCGCCGCCCTTGTTGCGCTCCGTGCGCCGGGGGGGGGGGGGTCCAGCGCAGATCCAAGAAATCCGCGAGGAGCGCAACAAGTTGATGTCTATGACGTTTTCTCGTCTTCTGATCCTCGGGGGACCTCGCCTGTCCCCCAAACATGGGTGTCGTTTTTTGTGCCCGACGCGGGCTCGATGTGGACTCGGCACGGACTGGGCGTGGATTCGACACGGAGTCGACACGGACTCGACACGGACGCGACGAGTCCGACATGTATTCGACGCGGAGTCGACGCGGACAGGGCCACGACGGGACAGACGAAGTCCTTCGAGGATGCCGCATAGTGCTCGTGGTGCCCCCCCCCCTGCGCTCTGGGTGCCCCTGCCGCCGGCTGCGCGCCGGAAGCCAGTTCCCTTCTCCTGCAGGCATCGACATGTTCCTTTTGTTGTCGGGTTCCTTCTTGCTGTCTGGCTTACCATTGAGTGGGGCACGCTCCTCTACAGGAGGACGGTTCAAACATGGGAAAGAGCGTGTTCTACCGCTGCTGGCGGAAAACCGGGGGGGGTCACTACCGGTTCGAACCCCTTCCCCCCCCCCCCTCCGGAAAACCGGGGGGGGTCACTACCGGTTCAAACCCCTCCCCCCCCCCCAGTTCATCATGAAAAGGGGGGGGGTCACTACCGGTTCGAACCCCCCTTCCCCCTCGAACTCGAAAACCGGGAGGGGGCCACTACCGGCTCGAACCCCCCCCCCCTCTCGAAAACCGAGGGGGGGTGCGGACAGTGGTGGGGACGGTGGTGGTGGGGACAGTGGTGGGGGGGCTGCGGGACAGTGGTGGGGACAGTGGGACAGTGGTGGGGACGGTAGTGGTGGGGACAATGGTGAGGACAATGGTGGGAACAGTGGGGACAGTGGGACAGTGGTGGGGACGGTGGTGGTGGGGGACAGCGGTGTGGGGACAATGGGAATGTGGTGGAAACAGTAGGACAGTGGAGGGTACAGTGGTGGTGGGGACAGTGGTGAAGGCGGTGGCGGGGACGGCGGTGGGACAATGGGACAGAGGTACAGTGGGGACAGTGGTGGGGACAGTGGGGACAGTGGTGGGAACAGTGGCCTAAAGGATCGGCGTGGCTAATAAGTGTTACCGTGAGTTGTAACCATGTTATAACTATGTTGTAAGTCTGCTATATGTAAGTATATTTTGTTATCACCAGGTTCTGAACTTACTAACTTCGCTAACTTGGTCCCTCTAGTTAAGTATAGTACGCGGAGTTAGAACTGTTAGCAACTCTGCTAACGTTTAACATATGTTGGAAAAAACGATGGCGTGTAGGCTGGTTTCCCTGGTGTTTGTAGGGTTTTTTTCCATGTTGCTATTCGTTTTTTTCGGCATGGCGTTGCTAGAGTGTTGCCTGACTCCCCCCCATGAGAGTGCGATCGGTGCAATGCATTCGTGAATTCCGAAGGGTGCATATTGCAAGATTGCAACGTTAATTTGCATATATATATATATATATATATACGCATGCACCGTATAGGCTTTTGGCTCAACAGAGGTGGTTTCTGCGCGAGGCGTCATGACCTCCAAGCGTGAACTGAACATACAGAATGTTGTTGGGGAGACGCATGCAATCAATGGTGCATATGAGCAGCCAGACGCCCCCGTTGTTTCTTTGTTCGAAGAGGTATGCGCCATAGCGCAGCGGCCTGGCATCGATTGCATCAGGATGGAGGGGATGCATAGCAAATACATGTTCGTGTGCATGGAAAACAGGTATGGGGATGGGGTTGTCCCGAGCGATGTGCTAGATTTCCTCGCACAAATATTCAGGAACGGTTTCAAGCACCCGGCCCTTCAAAATCCAGTGCGCATGGAATTGCAAACAGGCTCGGCGGAATATGAGAAGGTCAAAGCGTTCAACGATAAGATATCGACAGATTCTGCTGGCCGAATGCGTTTGTATGAATGCGAAGCTGAATTCGCAAGCTACACGTGTGGACATACGAGCATGGGGTTGCGTTGCTTATATGTAGAAGTTCCCGCGCCGCAGAAAGATCCAGAACGATTCGACAGGATTTCGCAAGATGGGCTTCTTTCAATGAAGAGGTTGGGGGAAGCGCAGCCCGACTACGCAAAGGCTTGCGATGAGGGCATTGAATGGAAGGTCTTTCGGTATGAATGTGTCAAAGCGTGCCCTTGGATTTCAAACCTTGCCCAGGAAGCAGGCAATGCGGGGCAACAGATCGCGCCTCGCGGGCCCCGATTGAGCCTGGAGTTC